TTCATTGCTTCACTGATATTTAGCTATCAATACATATGTTAAAAAATGCTTTAAAGTATTCTTGTCAACAATCACAGTGCAAACAGATTTTTTTTAATAATAAAGCTGTTCAACCTCATAGAGACACTCTTTCTCATACAAAATAGACAAGCCACATGAGTGATAAACAAGTTGCACTCAACATGAATCCACTCATACAGATTGGACCTTAATCAATCAAAATACTAGGCTGAAAAAGCACAAGGTACTAGAAGAAATATAAATCTTGACTTTGATTACTTCTTAATAGTCAGTTTATGATTTTATTACTGTAATTTTTTTCAGCTAAACTTAAAGTAAAAAATGTATAACTATTAGTCAACTACAAAGCTGTAAAGATCAGACTAGGCAGTTGCAAGACTTAACAGATGAAATACAATGAGACCCAATCTCCTGTTCTTCAGGAATTCAGCACTTCAAGTTGTAAATACTTATGTTTAGGTTAAGATATCTGAAAGATGGAGCATACTTAAAAGAAATGACACGGAAAAATAGGAACTGGTAATTAACATGAAAGACACTAGGGTGTGGATGACAAGAAACATTGTGGATTAAATTATGAGACGTAATGAGGCCTGCCTGCTGACATCTCTTCTTCCACTGACTAATGGACTAGTTACTGGAACGACACCTCCATTCTGTTCATGGCTAATCAGCAGAGATCTTTCACCATTTAGAACCAACCCACTTGTATTCTGAGAACCAAGTCTACCAAGAACTCTTGGGAGAGTTTAGAGGAATACCTAGAGGAACTCTGGAATTATAAGAATAACTATTTACAAAATTCACATTCAATTGATAGCTCGTCATAAAGTTATCTGAATATCTTTCATGGAACGCTATTGGGATTGTGTTCTGTTCTACAACCAAACAACTGACCCTAAAACTAATCACAGGTTTTACATCATATTAAGAAATCAGTACATTCCCAGAGGAGAAAGAATCATTTGAATTTGATCTGCCAATTATCTAGTAATTCCAGGCACAAGCAAACTGCAGTATTTATGTCGAGGTGATTCGTACACCTCTGAGGAGTGGATGCTATATATCCAAGTTCTACAAATTATAATCACAGCTAAATTCAAGAGCACGTGAAAATAACCCAAGAGGTTTTGTTGTAACAGGACAATTCAATCCACCTTGCCTAGGATGTGGGTCCTGTAGCTTTCTACCAAATAATTCATAAACTTAAAGCTCATAAGCTAGAAACTATGCAGGAATTGATGGTTTTATATGATCCAAACAAGTATTAAAAGAGAAATATCATCACCATGACAGGCTGTGCCAAAGGACCAAGAGAACTGTCGAAGCACAAACATTTTCTTCGAAAATCTCTCACTTCCAAGATACAATCAAAATTCAGGTGACCATTAAACATCTAAATACCCAATCAAACACTACCAAGTCTTCTGATAACTTCGATCAAGTAGAGCACACATGAGTACACAGTAAATATAACTAAGATAACATTATCCTCTATATATTAGACAACCCACTAAGGTGAAATCCAGATTCAATGACCTAGATCAACAAATTATACTGGTAAAAGAATGGAAAAGGTATCAATATGAGTTATTACAAAACCATAATTTCCATGCAAAAAACAACACCAACCAAGTCGAAGATTAAAAACACGGCAAAAGGATACCACTTACAAGTTACAATGATCAAAATCAAGAATGATGCACTGTTGAAAGAAAAGGTTAAAGAGAAGCTGACCCTAGCAGAGGTTGTCATACATAATACATTTTGATTAAACAAAAATGAATTCTTCAGACAATTACTGTTTCTAGAAGAACTGAAAGAATGCAATTACTACATTTCGGAAGAACTGAAACGATACGAACATCCAGTTCCAACTTCGACATAAACCAGACAAATATCTGACGCACATCAAAAGCTCTTGAACACCCAAAGTATCCAAAAAACGAAAAATCTTTTCACTGTTTGGTGGTTCAGCGATGCGCATGCATAGCTTATAACAAGAAGCAAGCCTTCCACACCGCTTGCCATCCCCAACAAAGAAAGAAGTAACAACTTTCCTTTATGGATGAAACCCCGTCTTGGCTAATTTTAAACCATTAAAATCAACCCAAAGTAAAACAAAAACAAAAATGAAAAGAACAAGCAAATCCTCTGTCATCGGGCTCTTCCAGAATCCGGAACAAAAACTCGACTTTCTCAGCGAGAGGTCGGAACAAAAGCTTACCTGGAACCCATCAGCTGCGGAGAACGATCGAAAGAAGTGCAAATCCGCCTTCTTCGACGATTAAAGAAGCCCCCCTCCCCTCACAGCAGGACGAGGGTCAGCTACGAAGGGAATAACACAAGAGGGATGTCAGAGTGAGAGAGAGAGAGAGAGAGGACCGAATCCCCGCTTCGAAGAAAGAATTCGAAAGGTTGACAAGACATTGAAAAGGAAACGTCCTTTTAACCTACTGGGCTTCGAAGGGCGAGCATATAAGATGGTCTTAACCTACTGAAAAGGTACGTCCTTTTGACACTTACTAAATTCTCCTTTTCAACGCTTCCATGACTACCTCGCCTTCGGCCCCTCCCTCGTCTGTGCACACCCCCACCGACACCTCGCCCCACCTCCTCATCCGAAGCCTCCAGATCCGGGGAAGGAGACAAGCGATCCGCCGCCCTCTGCTGGTAGCTCGAGGAGCGAGGTGCGAACTTCACTGCTTTCAAACAACGCCCCCATTTCTTGGGCAAGAAGACTCTCGAGGAAGGGCCATGGTACAGGCACATGGAGACCAGATCGTGCGCTGGAATATAAACTTGAGAAGATAGAAAGCTCTCAGCTCTCACTGAAACTGGACCTCGTGGATGTTAATGAGGCGAGAATTAAGTGGCGCACAGGCGTGAAGAAGCCATCGGGATACGTCCTCAACAGCCCTAGAAAACGGAAACCGATTATGTGAAGCAAAATAAACAACCACAAATTTGATGAGCGTAGAACTAAAAAGGGATCGCAGAGCACCTGAAGAACGAATAAGAGCGGAACAAGATCCAGATCTAGGGTTGGTTAGTCCACAAGAAACTACGGGCGGGAAGGATAGGGGAAAAGAAAAATAAAAAGGAAAAGAAAGGTCGATTATTATTATTTTTTTTTTTTGGCGATTGCCTTGACAAGACTAAAAGTAACGTAAATAGAATGTAATTAAAAAAAATTTCTTCAAAAATTTTAAAATTTTTATAAGACCTTGTAATCAAAATGACTATTTTTTTTTAAAAAAATGGACCATTAAAGGACCTATTTTTAAAAATTAAAAATAGATTCTTTAATAGTTTAAAAATAAAAAAATAGTTATTTTAAGCTCTCTTATCAATTATAAGATTTCATGAAATTTTTTTATTTTTTAGATAAAAAAATTTAGCTATTAATTTTAAATATAATATATTCACGTCTCGTCACATTATATTTAGTTAGAGGAGAGTAAAGTAGAGTGTCTAAAATAAGTAAGTAATTAAGAGAGTCATTTCAATTAAAATCGTCTCCTAAGAAATCTTTTTTATTTGACTGATAATCATCATTAAAATCTAATTAAATTGGATTTCGATCGGAACTCGATCAATTTTTAAATTGGACTTCGATCGGAACTCGATTGGAGTTGAACTTGAGTGAGATTTAAGTTATGTTCCATGCGATTTTAAGTTCTGATTCAAACTTGAGATCGATTAGTTCAGTTACATTGGGATCGATTAGATTGTCCTGAATGGATAAATAGAATCGTTTGCTTACAACTATAAAGTTGAAGCATCAACTCTTCAAGATGACTCTAAGTCGGTGAAAGGATTAAGAAATATTTATCAAATATGTAGGAGTCATATGCCTTTGCCTTTAGATTCACTTCTTCACCTTTGTTGGGTGGCCGGAGATGAAGAAGATGCAAGTATCCCATATGAAAAATGAGATATTTGGTATATTGATGAAATGACCAAACGTAATAAGAATTCTTGATTTATCGGATGTAAAGACACTGACAATATATGGTCTTGATTTTGTGTCGTGGCAGTTCCAAAAAAAAAAGTGTAAAATGACTTATTGATTTAGGATCAATAAGAACAACCAAATTCACTTCTATTGTATATTAGTTCATAGTGTTTTCGAATATGTCTACAGTGATTTTGATTTTGATTTTGATACCCCACCAGAAAAACGACAAGTCTATTAAAAAAATATATATGGTAACGGAGGTAAAATACCCAAAACCCAAAAGAAACCCTCTCATATACCAAAATAAAAAAAAAAAGTCTCAATTATGTATCCTTGTGAAATTAGCCTGCTAGTTATAATATTTTTGAATAGACTAATATTTTTGACATCTCTATATATCATTGTAAATTTATTAAAAAATATTATTAATGAGGAATATAAACAACTCTAAATCCATTAGAAACCAACTTATGAACTTTGATTAATTAATGATTTAGGAACAATATTTCATTCCGTATGGATATATATTCACCAAACACAAGACCATATATTCATGAAACAGATTTCTTGGAAAATTAATGACCTGTGATGCCGAATGTCGCCTATATTAATGCATATATTACGACAAATAGCGTGCATATAGTTTTAGGTGGGTATGAATAACCAGAATCTCGCATCCTTAACAATACTCACTTCAAAATATTTACTACTACAGATGTAGCAGCTTCGTTCAAATTTATAGTTCCCTAATAACGTCTTGTTGAGTTATTCCAAGGAACATGACAAAAAAAAGAAAGAAAGAAAGGGGGAACACTGATTGAAAATTTTAAGAAGAGTTACCTCTCAAGAAGAGTTCTTCTTGCACAAGTGTCAGCATGCTTACAATATGAAGAAACAGACTTCAATACCTGCTGCTTTCTTCCTGTTTAGGCACGTATTAAGATCCTTGGACCTCATACTTTAGCTTCACAATCAGCACAATGGTCGTCCGGTCTTTAGCAACTCAACAATCACAACACTCTCAACATTGTCCTGCTCTATATGCTGAATGACAATTTAGTTATTGATTCAACATACATGCCTTCGTACCAACAACTATTCTTGAAAGGATAAAAATTATTGAAGCATATTCTTTATGAAAAAGAATAATTAATGTAGCATCGTGATGTTTGGCTTCGAGCTCGGCACTAGGCGAAATGGCGCTCCCTATTCAAATCAGCTAACACCAAAAAAATTACATATATATTGGCAGAGGTAGGTAGCCAAGAATTTCTGTACCAATGCCCATTTATCTACCATGTATACCTCCAGGAAAGTGAAATTCCTTTTTCCTCGATGCAAAATGTTTTAACCTTGGATAAGGAGGTTTCAGTGGTATCGAACTTTGTACTATGTATCCGTTCCCTGTTATCAATAATGTCCTCGGTTCCACTAACACTTCATGTCATATGAGTTGCATCTCCGCTAATTGAATTGTCCATAATTCTTTTTCAAATCTAAGTTGTGGTCCGACGAGCATCTTTTACTGCCTCAGGACTGAGATCCATCCCGCATTTTTGCTTTTGCAAACAATACACCTGCTAAGAGGCCTGCAGACGTGGTTTACACAAATCAATTATTAGAGAACATGCATATGCGCACACAGGTTGAGGCAGGGTCGTAAAATGAAGACAACCTACCAAAAAGAATGCTCAAGAAATTCTCCATGCTGGTTGGAACTTTGAAGAGAATGATCCCAGCAATCGAAAGAGGAATCTTATTGAGTGATCCTACAAGGCTGACAAAAGCCACACAACTGTCATGATTTGCTCAGAATTTTTGAAAATATGTACAGCTAGCATCGTAATGTTCAATTGTTGACAACCAGCAAAAGAAGTTGCCAATTGTATTCCTTAAAGCCCAAATATAGAATGCCTTGAGCTCAAACTCACTCCTACTTGGAAGCTACAGAATGCTGGATTATAGCCTTGAGGTCAAACTCACCATGTCCACCAAGGATGGAACATGTTGAACCTTTATCAATCTGTCATAAAAAAATTAATCTAATTATTTGCCTACTTTTAGGACCTACCAACAAATGCTGCCAACTCCTAGTGTCCTTAAAATACATATGATTTTAACCCCCAGATAGCAAGGTACATTATTTGTCCTTAAAATACATAAACCAGCTACAGATTCAGAATTGGTTAATTCATCCACTAAGTGTCTTTTATTGAAATAACTTTTTACCACCTTACTGATGCCTCAATCTGTGTATATGGTCAACTTGTGAAACTTGTCCTCGATCTTGTACATTGCCTTTTATGCTGAATCAGAGCAAGAGTAGGATAATAGACGAGCATAAACACTGAAGTTGAGGCTAAAGAAAAAAACTTTAGACTAAATTTCATAAAATCTACAAATCATTTGGAAGAATTAACAGTTTATTTGGCAACTCAAACTCTAGAGAAATAGTGTGCTTCAATGATGTTGATTGTTGATACTGTTTCTCTTCTGATTCATCTAGACGAGCAAAGAAAAAGGGTGAAGGTAATAATATCCTTACAATGGTCAAATGAATGTGAACCTTCGCTGGTTGCGTGTGAGGATAGAATTAACAGAAAAATGAGAAAGTGCAACATATTTTATCTGACAACTAAAGTTTGCTCCACCATACCTATATGTAGTTGCACCCGTCTGATGAAGAAACCACATTGATGTGAAGCTGATAGCAAGGCCCAAAAAACCACTTGAAGTTATCACCAACCAGAACATAGGCATCTTCAAAAGTGGCCTGCCAATTCACTAGGAATTCATAAGATATCACCTCCTTCCCAAAACAACCAAGATAAGAGAACAATATTCTCTTCTGATTAAATTGTCAAAGTGACACCAAGCCAGTTTAGGTACTACAGAGATGAAGTGGATAAGTGCAGAGGAGAAAAAGATAGGTTACCTTCAAAGTTATACATTGAGTTCCAACAAAAAAGGCTTTTCACATTTAATTAGTTTTATGCATTTGTTTCTTGCTTTTAATATATAATAAGGTTCATTTCCTTTTGATTACAAATGTTTTGAAAAACTTGAATGAGTTGACAGAGGCAGCTAGAGTTATTTTAGTTCAAAGTTTGACCAACTTGAGTTCATTTCCTGTGAAATATTTTTAATTAGCCAGTCCCAAATAGTTAGGATCTTACGGCTTTGTTGTTGTTATTGTTGTAATTAAGTGTTAAAAAACTCTTTGGTCTTACATATTTCAAAGGTAAATTGATTTAAATTTTAACACCAATATCAGTTTTATTTTAAAGCTCTTGCATATATTGTAAAATTTTCATCAAGTACATATATTTGCAGATCTTTTGTTTTCCTTACCAAATTGTTATACCTCACTGCTGAAGTAGAGTACGTCTTTGAATTTTCTTCTGTTAATATTGATTAATTGGTCTCTGAATTATAAACATATCAAATTTATAACATAATAAACATGCATTTCAGTTCTAACGACATGGGTCATGCCAACCAATCACCAGAAAGAACATAGAGAAAAGAAAGAACATAGAGAAATACATAAAAGGACCACCTGGTTTGATTTCCTGAAAACTGACCTGTAATGGGACTAAGGGCATGTCAGTAGGTTGTGTCCGGTTATCTCAGGCATCAGATGCCTCTGTTGCTTGAGGCAGTTGTGGTCTTTACTATGGTTGCAGTTAAACTCATGGTAAAATTGCAAATTGCAATTCGGTAGAAAGGGTATCAAACGGGAAAGGGCAAGGTTAAAAGGAATAACAACATCACCCCCTTTTCTAATTAAAAAAAAGGAGTATTGTTAATCAAATGCAATTAATTTGACAATATGTATAATCTAGAACTCCCATTGCATCTGTAATTCCCTTATCAGAACAGTAAACTTTAGCCAAAACAATGTGTTTCAGCGGAAACACAATTACTGCTAACCACCATGGTAAGTAGACTTTTCAATTCAATCTAACTCTGTCATTCGTAATGGTTTATTTGTTTTGTAATGGCTTAAGTAACACAGCATAGAATTAAAATAAACTTATTTTGAGAAATAAAAGTGGAAGAAGCATATATGAAGTATAACTGATGAAAATGATGTAAAAATTATAATAATCAACTTGAATTATTCACTCACGTTTTATAGAGATAGTCCACCTCATTGAAAGCAAATATAAGCAAAAGTCCCAAAGGCAGAGAAAGAGTGTTATTGAGCAAAACCATCGAAAATTCATTCAAGTTTCCAGATTTAGTGACTTGCTTTGCAGTATCCATGACTCGTCGTAGTGTTAACTGTGATATATAAAACTGCATTTGTCAGTCATTCATATCGAGGAACATAAAATAAACTTGGTGTTATAAAAGAGACTAATGTCATGCTGTTATGAAATTAACTATGATATATATGTAGCATTTCCATCTTGTCAACTATTAGAGATCACAAAAATAGCCAGCAAAAAAAAATCAATTACAGATCCACTTCAAAGACTGCAGAATATGCACCTTTTATAGTAGGGCCAAAATGGTATATAGGTCAGCAGCTGTAACAAGCTGACTCCAATGTGGTCAAACAAAATGTATCAAGTAACCAGAAAATAGGTATCCAATAATATATGTGAGGCGTGACCGACTAGTATACCTTGCAAATGTAGTGTATCGAGCAGATGGGCTGGTTTGAGTTTTGACCAGCCCTCGGTACGTATTGCTCATTTCAGACCATTTTGAACAATACAATAGTCTTTGGTCAAGAGAACCCAAAAACTATCTCAAATTCCCTCCTGAGCTTGATAGGATGATGCTCCATGCTGATGCCAAAGATGGAGACTTTTAAGGATAAGCTGAATTGTAATCTATATATGCCCTTGCATTTACTGGAGTAATCCTGGCTGTGGGAACTTATGCAATATATAGTTTCCTGAGTCTTGTTGTCAGTCACCTCTACCCTCGAGGCTGTGATAACAACTGACTATATGGTGTAACGTTATCTTTCGAATAATGAGATCTTACCTTTTGCAAAATACATGAATGCAAAATGAGCCCAAGGCATTCATCTCAACATCTTATTGCAGCGACACTAACATAGAATTAAAGTGGAAGGGAAAAAGAAGAAATATAAGAGGAGGAACTCCTGGCACTAAAAGTCTATTTGGTTATACAAATGTTGAAAATCTTCTTCAAACAAAATCATGTTTTTATGAATAAGATAGAAAAGTTATATAGCATATGATGTGACTTCTTCATTTTTGACAAAACCAGAAAATACGGATATTTCATATATGTTGAGAGAATAAGGCACATAAGCAACTGACCGAATATGATGCTGTCAGAAAACAATTTATGATCTGCCATGCATAGCCAGTTGCATGAAAGGAGAGATCAGTTGCCCCTCCAGAAATCGCAGAAATTATCTGCAAAACAAGAGAATGTTAAAAATCCAAAAACTAAATATTAAAGTTCAAAATCCTTCACAACTAAAAAAAATCTCAAGAGCCTTTAATTGTTCCTAAAGATCAATGTGGACTTTCTCAGAGCACGAAGCAGTGTGATCTATTTAGACATGAACGTGATGAAAATTAGCTAAACTATTGAGTACTAAGTAGTAAAAGAAAAGTACTAATTTGCGTCTAACAATTGTTTGAAATAAAGATATTTCAGAGTCCAAAGAGCAATGCACGAAGAGAAACAGCTTCTTCATTCCAAATTTCTTTTTGAAATAATTTCTAAAGAACACTTAGCTTATGCAGATGTATGCACCATCAGTTGATGCTACCAAAACAAGGAACAACAACAGATTTACTGTATTTTTTCTTGAAGTAAATGTTGAAAATTTGTAAACATGACAGGAGTGTACCATTAGGAACAGGGCTGTCCACACTTTTTTGTCGTGATGTTTCATGAAAAGATATGTTTCCCCCAGAGCAGTAATGACATTAGTGACATTCTTAAGAACTGTTACCATGGCAACATTGATGTATTTTAAGCTGCAAATGGAAAGCATTCATTGAGCAACTTTCGAGAAAGAATTTGATGACACAAGAATGTAGTATTCCATATAGTCAGTCATATGTGATACAATTGTGGTTTATAACTTATGCAAGTAGGGAAATAAAGCACTCCAAAAGTATTATAATGCCATATGCAAGACTGATGAATTACATATAAATTAAGAAATGTATAAATTAGACTAACAAAAACAAGGACTAAATGAGAGTACTTCAAACTGACAAAGGCATATAACAGAATTGGCATATTTAAACATACTAAATAACGAACAAATGGAGAAACCAAGAAGCACAGAGTATATGATTTTTGACTTTATTGAGTCATTGACACCTTGAAAATCCATATTATCATCAGTTGTCTGAAAAGTCCAAAACTAATTGTTTGATTGAACCCTAATTTGCTTTCAATCTCAAGAGTATATAGCTGCAAGATCTATTGGCATGAAAAAAAGCTGTTTGATGATAAATATTATGACAAGAAACAAAGACACGAAACAAGATTTCTTAGAAGTGAGGAGCCCTCTGTATATTCTGCTCTAAAATGGCTCGGTAGCATAACAAAAAACTCATTGGCATAATTCCACTGGCTGCTAGCAAACAGATCTCACTGATCCATCTATCCAAAAAGAATATAGCTGTTACCTAAAGCTTCTCTGCCTCATATCACAGCCTTGATATTAGAAAAATATTTTGTGAAGTAAGAGCTTCCTGTAGCTCTAAAGACATGAAATCTATAAGCAGATTAGCATTCTTAAATTTGTTCTCTCACAGTCTATACTTATTAAATCATGTTTCAACTTTAAACAAAGAGAATGCTTTGGTGGTTCATTTTCCTCCACTTCAGTACAAAGTGCAAGTAGTTCAAGCAAACGCGACATGAAGTACCTATCCAAATAAAAGTAGAAAATGCCCTAAAATTACAAGCAGATTGCAAAAATTTGGACGTAAATTTGAATTGATTGGCATTTCTCACTAAGACTAGTCATATCATTTTCATTCTAATTTAATAGTTGAGCCCATTAATTTAAATGTAAAATTCAAGACATAAGTAAATCTTGGAATTATCCAAAAGGATAAGAGTAAAGAAATCTGTGTTCTAGAAACTTGTTATACCTAAACATGCTTGTGATAAGCATCCCAACAAATATAACATTCACCGGCAACCAGACTCTGATTAGTTTCCATGTGAGAGGTTCTGTTGATATTACACCTGATGAACTCAAAATGGAAACTACAATTACTGAAACAAGATTCTGCAAACAAAAAAAGGCATCAAATTGTTAGTCATTCTAGACCATTAATGTTGGGATAATGTATTACATTATAGTTCATTAGGTGTGATTTAGAAGAACAAAATAGAATACAGATTGCCACTCACCTGGTAAAGCATTAACGATATTCCAGCACTAAAATCATAGCCTGACAGCACAAACTTGTTTACAAGTATCATGCTGCATGATGATATGCAGTATGCAAGACCAGAAAGAAGAGCTTGATTACGTAGCTTTATAGGTTTGTAGCCACGTAAAATATTATCCCTATCTTTCTCAACTTTACCATCTTCCAAGTCTATCTCAACATCACGAAAAGATTTTAATCCAGCCATCGACCTATATATATAAAAGTAGGCATTGCAAAAAGCCAATACACATAATTTAACAGATTAATAGATAGATGGATAGGATCAAAGAAAGAGACGGCTATAATGTAATACATGCTTAATGAAATGAGAGAAGCAAAAAACACCAAGCTTTGTTCAATTACTTTCCAGATTATACAAAAAACATACACATAGGTGGTATCCACGAGCTCTAAATGCAACCACGAAATTAGATGTACACTTTATATGTAGCATGATGTACAACTTAAGTCTCTTGCACCTTGAGTTAACCCTTTAATCAATCTTATGATAATCGAGCGACGGATAGTATTTTTATATTAATATTATCTGACATAAACAATATAATTCCCACATTGCACAATAACATGAAAATAAAAGGCAATAACATGCTTAATGAATAGTATATGTCTTCCATTTGCAAAAGACAAAATGTAAGCTTAGAAGGTAATAAGTATGTACAGTATTTGGTGCTTAAGATTACTCTAATATTGAGTGAAGCAGCAATGTAAAAATTAGTGTGGAGAAAAAACTGAATATAAGACAGAGGGGAAAAAGTCAGAATGTACGTATGGGGAAACAGTCTAAAGTCAGAATTCATTGCTTAACTGATATCTAGCTATCAGCCTATCAGTACATATGTTGAAAATTATTCAAAGTATTCTCATCAACAATAACAGTGTAAAATAGATCTTTTTTGTCTAAAACAAAAAAACCGCTCGACCTCGTAGAGATAGTCCTTCTCATATAAAATAGACAAGCCACATGAGTAATAACAAGGTGGACACGAAACATAAATCCACTTGTAAGATTGAGACTTAATCAATCAAAATACTAGGATAAAAAAGGACAGGGTACTAGAAGAAATATAAATGTTGACTTATATTACTTCTTACCAGTCAATTTGTGTTTTTATTACTTTGTAATATTTTGTTCAGCTATATTTAAAGGTCAAAAAGTATAATTATCAATCAACTACAAAGTTGTAAAGATCAGACCAGGCAGTTGTAAGGTTTAACAGATGAAATACAATGGAAACCTAATCTCCTGTTTTACAGGAATTCAGCACTTCAAGTTGCAAATACTTATTTGTAGGTTAAGATATCTGAAAGATGGAGCATACTTAAAAGAGATGTCAAGGAAAAAAAGGAACTGGTAATTAACACGAAAGACACTGGGATGTGGATGACAAGAAACAAATTATGAGAAGTGATAAGGCTTGCCTGCTGATATCTCTTCTTCCACTGACTAATGGACTTGTTACGGGAACTACACCGCCATTCTGTTCATGGCTAATCAGCAGAGATCTTTCTCCATTTAGAACCAACCCACTTGTATCTTGAGATCCAAGTCTTCCGAGAACTCCATCAGGAGAGTTTCGAGGATTACTGAAAGGAACAACTCTGGAATTATAACAATAAGGATTAGAACAAAAGATAAATTGTATAGTTCATTCACTAAAGCAAGAAGGGCACAGAAAAGACATAGTACATGTTTGAGACATAGACAACATGTAACAATTCGTAAAATAATTTTCCTAAAGACGAAGATCTAGAATAAAATCTCTTGCAAACAAAAAATTCAACATTTACTTAAAGTCACAGTTTATGTTCCCACCTTAAGTAGGAACTGAATTTGGCTAAGTAGGAATTGGATTGAGAAAGCTATTTAGTTACTAAGTTTCAAGTTTAGAAAGCTCTATATGTTTTTGGAAAAGATTGTGATATTATAACTTTCCTAAAAATGTGAAAGTCTTCCCCAATAAGTTTGCTTAGCTTAGCTAGATCATTTAAGAAATTTACAGATAAAAGAAAATTACTGTTCAGGCTAGAATCTCATATATCATTTCACAGAATTAAAAAAAAAAAGATTTGATTTGGTTAGTAGCCTTCTCTACCTTCAGCCCCTCTTCTCTATTTTATTTTCACCTGTAATTCTTCAATAATTCTATCTGCTTACTGTTATAGATAAAAAAATGCTGTGTCTCCTTGATTTTAACCATTGCTTATTGTGATACTATGATTATAGAGATTTTCCTTCTCATCTCAGCATCTAAAGGTTACAATGTTTTCCCTGTTATTCTTGTTGGTTCATCTTTTTTTGAATATAAGTAAATTATTAAGCTCTGAATTTTTCAAGACTAAGAGTTAATAGCATATTCCAACTTGAGCTGATTGCTGACAAGGACCAGTCAACCAGCTTCTACAGTCTGTTTCGAGGTGTTTCAAACAAGCTGATCCCGCAATCAAATTCAATTGATCTAGCCAATTCAAGCTGGATGCAAATAATAAATATTCTAGTTGAACTAACTTATATTAAACTTGGAAATAATGTATATTCTAGTTGAACTAATTTATCCATTTGTCCTTGGCTCGAATAAGTTATTGCACTCAACTCTAAGGTTCTGTAAGAAACAAGACATTTACTTTTTATGTACTGTTGCAGTATTACTGTGTTGTGATTAATAACCTTATATTAACAAGGGCAACAAGCTAGAATTTAGCCTTAATCAATGCCCAAGAACTCAATAAAACAGTACTGGTTTTTATGTAAAGCAAATAAGCCCGGACTACTAAACCTTTATTAGATCCCAGCAATAAGCAACGAGTTAGCTTGGATTCTTTAATCATGCATAAAATGATTTAACAGCCACATTGTATCAATCAAGATAGAATGATTGCATCAATCAGGTATTAAGCTTAGTGCATAATAAAATAGCCACATCTACTAGTGTTATAGGTTTCAGCTTCTCCCATAGAGACTTGGTCAAACTAGGCCATTCCAACCAAGTTCTGCCGTTTTAATCAATTTCAACTATTTCCCATCACATAGATTCAGCTGGCTCTGGTTGACCTAATAAGTGAGCTGATTGCTGACAAAGACAAGTTGTACAGTCCATTTCGAAGTGTTTCAAGCAAGCTGATCCCACAATCAAATCCAACTGATCTAGCCAATTCAAGCTGGCTGCAAATAATAAATATTCTAGTTGAACTAACTTCTATTAAACTTGTATCCCATCTCAATGATGTGAATATTTTACTTGGTTTAACTAATATAGGGCATGTGCTTTCCATGTATGAAGAAAATTTGGTTTAACTATTATAAAATGTGCTTTGAATTAGTTCAAGAAGTGAAGAACGACAGAGAAGTAATCTAGCAGCCAGTCAGATCACATATGTATATCTATAGTCATATACAAATGGGTGGACAATATTACTGCATTAATGTTAGTACATATGCCTAAAAGGGCTGTCTTGTCTTCCTGTTTTCAATGATGAGAAATCCTCCCTTGAAGTAAAACTTGCTATTTTCCACTTCAACAAAATTCCTCCCATTCAAGAAATTTTAAGAGTTACCACACTGACATAAACCTCAGTTGTAACTAAAGAGATAGTAATACCTATCTGCACTGTCAGTGTTATGGAATGTTCCTCCATTGTCTAAACATTGCCTTGACCATTTATTTGGTAATAACTATGACAAAATTGACATTCAGTTGATAGCTCATCATAAAGTTATCTAAATATCTTTCATGGAGTACTCTTGGGATTGTGTTCTGTTCCACAATCAAACATCTCACTCTAAAACTAATCGGAGGTTTCATATCATAGTAAGAAATCACTACACTCCCAGAGGAGAAAGAATCATTTGAATTTGATCTGAGGTGTAATTGATTTGTACACTTCTGAGGACTGGATGCAATATAATTAAGTTCTACAACTTAATATCACAGTGAAAATTAAGAGCACGTGAAAATAGCCCAAGAGGATTTGTCATAACACTAAAATTCATTCCATTCAGCTTAAGATGTGTCCTGTAGCTTCCCACCAAATAATTCATAAACTTAAGCTCGTTGACCAGAAACTAGGCATGAATTAATGGTTTTATATGATCCAGATGATTATATAAAACCATAGATCGTTCATAAAACCATGTGAAACTAGGCATGAATGAATTCCTAAACTTAAGCTCATTGACGAGAAACTAGGCATGAATTAATGGTTTTATATGATCCAGATGATTATTAAAAGAGATGTCTCATCAGCATGCCAAGTTGCGCCAAATGAGCGAGAAAACTGCCAAAACATAAGCAGTTCTTCAAGACTCTCTGACTTAGACAAAGATTCAGTGATAGCATTATCCTCTATATATTAGACAGCCCACTAAGGTGAAATCCAGATTCAGTGAACTACATCAACAAATTAGACTGGTAAAAGAATGAAAAATGTCTCATTATGAGTAATTACAAAACAAAACTTTCCATGCTAAAAAACAACACCAACCAAGTCCAAGATTAAAAGCACGACACATGTTACCACTTACAATGATCAAAATCAAGAATACTGCACTGGTTAAAGAAAAGGAAAGAGAAGCTAATGCTAGTCGAGGTTGTCATACATGCTATATTTTGATTAAATAAAAAATTAATTCTCCAGCCATTACAATTTCTAGAAGAACCGAAAGAATGCAATTACTACATTTCGGAAATAAGCCAGACACAGATCAGACGCACATCAAAACCTCTTAAACACCAAAAATGATCTTTTCACCGTTTGGTGGTTCAGCAATGCGCGTGCATAGCTGATAACAAGAAGCAAACCTTGCACACCGCTTGCCATCCCCAACAAAGAAAGAAGTAAAAACTTTCCTTTATGGATGAAACCCCATCATGGCTAATTTTAAACCATTAAAATCAACTCAAAATAAAACAATAATGAAAATGAAAAGAACAAGCAAATCCCCTGTCATCGGGCTCTTACAGAACCCGGAACAAAAACTCGACTTTCTCAGCGAGATGTCGGAGCAAATGCTTACCTGGAACCCATCAGCTGCGGAGAACGATCGGAAGAAGTGCAAATCCGCCTTCGATTCGACGACTAAAGAAGCACCCCTCGCCTTCGAAAGGGGAGAACGCAAGAGGGATGAGAGAGAGAGAGAGAGAGGAGCGAATCCCCACTTCGAAGAAAGAGCTCGAAAGGTTGACAAGACTCATTGGCTTCGAAGGCGAGCATTTAAAAGCGTCTTAACCTATTGAAAAGGAACTTCCTTTAACACATAATAAATTGACAGCAAAACTAAATTACCCATTATTTGATCAAAACTTGGGACCCACGCAGATCCGGATATTTTGTCGAACAACAAGGCTGGTACGAAACCGGGCAACCGGGAATGGGATGAGAAGTGTTCGGATAGCTGCTGGATTGTTAGGTAGCGGTCCATTATATCGGATTCTGTAGAAATTCCGGTTCGGAATGGTCAAATAACGGGACAGGATTCTGGCACTCATGGCGTGTTCGCCTGCCGCGTTGACTTGATTTCGAGCGGCAAGATTTGGTTTTCTTTTTTTTTTTTTATTGAGATCGTTAAAAAGAAGTTGTAAATTACTAATTTGATACGTAGAATTTTAAAAATATAAACCAAATGCACGAGATTCCCCGTTGAAGTAGAATTAGAAAAGAAAAAAAATCAAAATAAAAATATTTTTTTAAAAAAAAAAGTCAATCTTATATTATATACTATTCATTCTCAAATTTTTAAAAAAAATGGAAAAAATAGAAAGGTTATAAATTCAAGGTTCATCATTTTTTGATTTGAAAGAGAAATTTTATGGCCTAGTGAGTAACATGCTCTGGGTCTCAAATTGCACATAATTTTTGATCCATTCAACTTAATAACGAAAAGAAATTTAAGCTAAATAATTGGTAAATCAAAGCTTCTTGTTGTTTACTGATCACTACTTTGATGACAAAGCAGACATTCCCTGGAGTGTTGTTCTTCATAAAATTCTATATAACAGCACCAGGTGAATAAGGTGGCAAAATCTTTTGGTGTAGATATCTGCCTGGGTTTACCAGTTTTTTCAGAATAGAAATGGAAAAGGGTGAGAGTTGACAAAATTAGTCCACAGTTCCAACATATTGATTCTGCTGATGTTCGAGGAGGAGGAAGAAGAAGAAGAAGAAAAAAAAAGTGCCAGCAATCTATTGTGAAAAGGTGTGCACTCCTAAGGGTGATAGTTGATTATTAAATGGAGACAGCTAAGGCTTAAAATAGGAAGCAGATCGGAGGCTGCTCCATTTATCCACCACAAGTCAACTCATTCTTAGTTGTCATGTTGGTGAAAGGAGACTACGACAAACTTTAATTCATTCATTCAGTGTGGCTCTCGTGAAAGTTGTCTGCAAGGGTTGGAAAAAAGAAAGAAAGAAAGAAAGATTCTTAAACTCACCTAAACTTTAAAAGTTATTTTCTTCTTGTTTCTGGTACTCACACAATTCGAGGTTTGTAGTTGCTACTTTCTAGCAAAGACAATGAGAAGTTATGCACAAATGAATGCTTCATGAGAAAAATGTGAGATATTCTCTTAGCTGCAGTGTGTTGACCAATAAATGCCATAACTTTTGTCCACCAACAAGTTGATTTGCTAACCCCTCAAAAAGATTGATCGGTTGGCAGCCGGAGTCAGGGGTCAGGGAAATAAATGGCTTCAGCCAAACCCACTATGAGTCCATTTTGGTTGTGGTGGAATCCACAACTTGTCTATGTTCCTTTGCATTCACATCTCCTAGCTAGCTACTTCATAAAGGGCAATACAACCCAACAACGGAAAGCAATGGCCCTCCTTTCCTTCCTTATGAATTGGATCAAGCTAGCTCTCTCTCTCTCTCTCTCTTCTGTTTATTGGATCGTCGAGCTCAGATGGTAATATCTTAATGCTTTGTTGAAGTATTATGATATTGGTAAATAAATGAAGGTGTAGGGAGTGTTGAGTAGGGTCATATATTTGGTGAGATCCATAACTATTGATGTCTCTATATCATATCATCGACTAGTATGATGAGGTCCCTCATTGGCCCCATTAACGGAATGCTTCAAGCGGTAGCAATTCGATCATAGCTTCTAGCACATCTTTGTAACTTTTGATATATCATTGGATCTTTCGAGACATTGCTCTATCCTCGGTACAATGTTCAATCTCAAGCACGTCTCAATGTCTATTTTATTGGCTCGACTATCTTCTAGCACGACAATTGATCTTTTAGTCTTTCGGTGGTCCGAGTCCTTAGTTAAAAGTGTTTATTGTATATCTCAATAATATATTAGTTCATTAAATTTTATTATTTTTTGATAAGCCATATAAAAGAGGGTTGACGATGCATCACCGTGCTGCGTCCGAGAGCTTTCATCTTGAGGAACAGCCTTCATGGCTTGATGACCTCCTTAATGAACCCGAGACAGCTGTGACGAGAGGCGCTCATCGAGTGATTCTTTTGCACACTTGGAGACGTCTGGTTTCTCATGGAACGCAGCTGGTACACAGCCCATGAGAGTAACAAGCACTGCACCTTAACTGCAGCTCCTTCATGGGGATCTCAGAAAGTTGAGTATTTCAAGGACATGCAGCGCGCATCTCATCATATGGATGTAAATTCATTTGGAGGAACTCAAAAAGTATGGGCTCGCAGTTCAGCAACAATATGATTGCCCATCCAAGTAGTAGTCCTCCATCGGTAAAGGACGAGCTTGTACATGCAGGTTCATCTACGGCGGTATGCTTTTGATCTTAGAGTTGGGACTTTATTGGTCATATGCAGTGCTCTTCAGACAAGGATTCGACTAATAGATATGTATACAAATCACCACTGACTCGTCTCCTTCCTCCTTGTAGAGAGAAGTAAAACCTATGAACAACCGAGTCTTTAAGCTGCTGCCAGTGACAAACTGTGGAAAGTGTGTTGGAAAAAGAAAGGGAAGAAGAAGAAGAAGAAGAAGAAGAAAAAACAGCATCTTTCTTTCTTGACTTGATAAAACTATCAATCTCTTTGACTACTACTTCTTAGCCACTGAGAAGTGATGTGGCAAAAGTATCACATAGTTTTGTTTTTGAATGACACAGTTCAGCATGATGTATTGGAGCAAGAAGCTTCTCGTCTTCGAGCCTTGTATCATCATCATCAACAACAACAACAACAGCAGCAACAGCCTCACAGACGTAGCAGAAGCATACAGAAGCATAACGAACCAAATTCAGGTCCAGGCCAACTCCAGATTTGAAGCTACACCTCGTCAGCGGCCTCAACATGGTTTGTTTCGAGGTCCCTTTCCACACACCAAGCTAAACTTTGTCGTCGTCTTGTTGTATGAGGTGAAAGGCGTGTTTGTTTGCATTCTTACGGTGATGTTCGATAGCTGATCATTTTCTGCTTGTTTCCTAAGCATAATAAAAATTGACTCGCTGTTCCTTTTACTTTTGCTTATCTTTCTAATATCCGGACACTAAGAAACATGTGATGATAATGCATCCATCCTCTGTCTTTTTCAAATCAAGCAAAACGAAGGGATAAGAATCAAGAAGCATCGTCTCTTGTAGCTTTACGTAACTCCAATCTTCCACACAAATCAAGCATCGTTTGCAGTGTCGGCTTGTGCAGAATTCCATCTCTGTGATCACATCAATGGTGGCTATATGGGGAAGTACTACTTGCGATGCTTTGCGACCCTGTTCCTTAGAGCCACCGCCACGAAGTCCTCCTCCTGCCTCTGCTCGAGCATGGCCTTCGACATGGGGTATTGCCGGAGCTGGAGGGTGGTCAATGCATTGGGTGCGTGGAGGACTACATGCTCCGAGGCCAATACAGCAGGTATCTTGACACCGTCATCGACCAGATCTTTATCTACCTTGATGGGATCGTCACGACGACAGCATGGATGCGTGGATCCTCGACGTCGACGGCACCTGCTTGTTCATGTAAGAAATTTTGATGAAGCCAACTTGTGTTTCTAAATCATTATAATAGAAACA